ATCTGCATTTAAAGAGAACATGTATTTAGAAGACATGCATTTAAAGGGAGTTGACTATAGGGCTGTTAAAAAGCTTGTCGGAAGCGGTCCTTGAGTCAACTTCACATGAGATATTTTAGAACCAACTTCAAGCTTATCCCAGACAAAGTCCCAAATGCATGTCTTTTGTTTCAATATATAATTAGAAGAGCATGCATGTGATTGGCTAATTTGCATTGAGACCAATTTAATCAAAATATTCCAGGTAACTTATTGAAACATTTTACTAAAATTTATTTATTTTTTTTTTACTTTATACGAACGAAATATTTACTATATGCAAATCAAAAACCCAGAGAACTTCATTCAGAAGAAAAGAATACCACTACGCATTACTAGATTGTGAATAAACTACTATATCCTAGGTAGTTAAACTGGTAAGAGTTGACCTGGTTCGTTATTATCAAAGGCAAAGGTGGCATTTTGTTCTTTCAAAGTAGATTTTAATCAAAAAAATTTTTTAAAGTATATATACTTTTGCGGATTATTGATAGAATGCATATTGCTATATTGTATTATGTTAATTAATGAGTATATTTTAAAATTTAATAAAATTTATTTAAAATCTTAATTCTACTTTTTGTTTTGTAATCTAAAATCTGTTGAAATGGAATTATTGTTTTATCACTTCTCTTGCAAAAAAAAAAAAAATTACATAAACAAATGATTTATAAAGTATATTAAAAGCTGTCTATACTTCACTTATTTATAACAATAAACCAATCAATCTTATAATAAATATCAGAAATGCTCTTAACATTAATATCGCATGTATTAGGAGTTAATTAATATTCTCTTAAATGTTGATATCATATATTACTAGTAATTTAAACAGTCAAATAATAATTGAATAAATAACTATTGTCGAAATTTATTAAATAGTTACAAGTATAACAAAAAACTTCTTTTAATAATTAAAAAAAATTTACATAAGTATATTAATTTGTGCTATGTTTGTTTCGTTTGTTTCATTTAATAAAATAAGTCATCACTGGAGCCTCTTAAATAGTTACAAACATATTAAAGAAACTCCTTTTAATAAAATACCACATGATTATATTAATTTGTATATTGAATGTTACATCTTTTGTTTAAGCAACAATAACTTAAATCGTTAATAAAAACCTTAGATTTTTTCTGTTGACTTTAAAAAAAAATAAAAAAAATAATAATAAATAAATCAATAAATAAATTCTTAAGTAACAAATTGCATTCTAAATATTTACCAATGTCTTGCTTTAACTTGCCTACTTCGTCAATTTCTAATTTTATTCTTGCAACTCTTGATCCCATTTCTTCACTTCTTGATCCCGATTCTTACTTCTTGATCCCAATTCTCCACTTCTTGATCCTGATTCTTTGATCCTTAATCCCAATTTTTTGATTCTTGATCCTAGTTCTTCAATTCTTGATTCTGATTCTTCAATTCTTAATCCTCTTCTCTCAACTCCTAATTTTGACTCTTTAATTCTTAATCCTCAAAATGAAAATATTCCCAAAAATTATTCTGAAGACGATATTGTTAATAAACTTAAAAACAAAAGAATATCACCTGTTCATGACTATCTTGATATTAATGACAGTGGTATCCATATTTGCAAAGTCTGTTCTGATAATCTGGATATTAAAGAAAATGAAATTGGTAAATAGGGCTTGTCTAAATCATTATCAATGATTACAAGCCATTTCGAAAATAAGTATCCAGATGTCTACAAAGATTTTCAGCAAAAAAGTGCCAAAACCTCTCATCCTCTATATTCAACAACTAATAAAATCGGCAGGGATCATATAAATTCTTTAAACTATAATCTATATCAATTAATTATTAGGAGCCAATTGCCCTTTTTAATAGTTGATAAAGATTCTTTTGTTAAGTTTGTTTCAAATCTTGATCCTTTATACAAACTTCCATACCGTCAGACCATTTCCGTAACTATTAAAAACAAATTTGAATCCATGAGAACTGAAATAAAAATGTATTAAAATCAAGCTTTCTAAACTAGTGC